TTTGACTAAAATTCACTTATAACTTGTACAATAATTTAGAGTATGAATTTTGTTATAAAAAAAAGCATTGATACACTTAAGATTTTTTATTCAATGACCCCACAATAAATCTTATTTACAAAGTACAAAAATAGTTCTGTATTATTTGTTTGAGCATGCGAGTGAATTATGGCATCAGGAATTGAACAACATCTTTTGCTTTTTACATTTACATTTAGAAGTGCTTCATCCCCCTTTGCATTTACATGAAAGAAACCCCTGACAACCATTTTTGAAAGCTTTTTAACTGGTTCATGTAGCGAAAGTTGAAGCTCAGCAACCATTGCTGCGAATAAAGGTGTGTCATTAGCAGCTTAAATTTGATTTCTCGACAAATATCCTGTTAAAATTCCTACAGCTGTTCCAGTGCGATACCCAAATTCTCCTGATTAAATAATTACACCTGAGATATTTCGAGGATAAGTTGGGGCACGATCATGCTGAGGAATTGGTATGATGATCCCCCATAGCAAGTTCTGATAATTTCCGTTTCGTTTTCTTGGTTAGATATTCGGCTTGGATCTGTGGGCGCATTACATTTGTGCGCATTTGGGGATTAACAAAATTATGTTTGCGCGCAGCTTTTGGTTACATTTGGGCACATTCATTTTACAGGTAAGCCAGGTAAACATAAAGATTTCATAATAAATATGACTATAAATTGTTGTATTTCATAATAAATATAACTATAAATGACAAGATTTGAAAGTATTTGTTGGTTTAAATTATATATTTTTCATATTGAATTCTAAAAAATGAGTGGTCTTGAGAAACAATTTGTATTTTCCTGTACCTGGGATTACCTATAAAATAAATGCGTGCAAATGAATTCAAAAGCTGCGCGCAGACGTAATGATTTTTGCGCGCAAATGTAGTGCACCGGGATCTGTTGTCCAGACAGCGCACGCTTCCTGGCACGTATGATTGTTGTTTCAATGTCAGTGTCATCCTGATTGTCACTGGGGCCAATTTATATTATTCTTTTAGAATTGTCACATGGGCCAATTTCTTTTGTACTATCAGAATTAACTGGCGTGCATGTATCAAATTACATTTCCTGTCTCCATCTGGGTATTTTTTTGTATTTTGTAAATGAGGTTTATTGTATGGTCATTGAACAAAAATTCTATGATGTGTATCAATTGTTTTTATAAACAAATCCGTACTATAAATTATTGTACAAGTTATAAGTGAATTTTAGTGAAATTTTGTACAAATTGTAATTTGTACAAGCACTTTTTGTACAAAGTCAAAATACAAATTATAATTTGTACGGCAAAATGTAAATTTGAAATGATAAAATATGATTCACCCCCCCCCCCCTTTTCAAAATGTGTTAATAAATTTAACCCCCCCCCCCCCTCTTTCAACTACATAAAAACTTTTGACCCCCTCTCTCTTTTCTGATTATAATTGAAAGGTTTCAAATGATTCAATTATTATATGTTGCTATTATTCCTAGTAAGGTATTCTAATACAGATACACAGAGAATGCAATGAGGACAACATCCGATAGAAGGATACCCTGATGTAACTTCACAGTCTTTAACAAGCCAAATGCCCATTGTTTGAAGAAATAGTGTCAAGAATTTTTGCCATAAATACAATGCAATGTACTATAATATCAACAATTAGTTTATATTAAAATATTATTATAAAACAATAAAACCATAATAATCTCAAATCAACATTTTGATTGCTATTTCAAATCACAAATTTTGTATTTTTTATTGAAAATACCCCTTAATATAATAAAATTGCTCTATATAAAAAAAAATTCCTAAGAGAGTATATCATATATGTAAAGTGCAAATTTTATAAAGTTAAACAAAATATTCATTTATAGTGAAGATCCCAACACCAAAGTTTTTTTTTCCAAAACAATTAAATGAATATAGTATCTTAGACTAAAAGTATTTTCAAAATGTCAAAATTTCCAATATATTTTATATAAAATCAGATTTTAAAAAGTGGCATCTTTAGCTCGGTATTCATCCAATGATATGCACCATCTCGTCAAACTCAAAACTAATTGGAGTTTAATTTGGTTTATACTAGTATTTAATTATGATTTTGTCATTTTCAGTTTTAAAGAGTAAAAAATTTGAACTTTGTTTGATATCTGAGCATTACTTTTTATTGTATTCATACAAAATGTCAGGATGTCTTTTTTCAAGTTAGAGATGTTGAAATGAAGCTTTTCCTGGCCTTTCAATAATTTCTTGTATTATAAATGATTCATTTCCACATTGTCGCTCTCTACTCAAACAGAAGACGGAGGGTCTTCAACAATGAACAAATCATTCATATATTTATTTATATTGGAAATCTTTATGAGGTATATTTAAGATATGGAATAAAAATAAGAAGAAAATGCTTTGAAAATGTCTTTATAGAATATTTTTTGTACACATAAAACAACAGTTTGTAAAATGAGTTCATCTTGAAAAATAAAAATGGTGTCACCTTCAAAAAGCAAAGTCTACTTTTGCTTTGGTGAAGCCAGGATTATGAAACCAATTTTATAGTCTCTATTCCTAGTTTCTTAATCCTATAACATCATGGCTAAGAAAAACATAAGAAAAGTGACTAATTTTGCACATTTTTTGGTAATATTCATTAGTCACTTGACAATAAAATTAGTCAAAGAGTGAAGTGACTAGCTCTAGCTAGATCACTGATAGTGACAGTTTGATATTTGTGAAAGAGTAAAACCTGAAAAAGAATGACCCCCCCCCCCCCCACCTCTATCAGAATAAATTTTTTTCATGACCCCCCTACTTTTTTGCCGCCCCCCCCCTAAGAGATAAATAATGACCGATCCCTTAGGACGGCTTTCAACAGTTTCAAAAGTCCATATGCGTTGGTGCACTCAAAATATAGTGAAATTATGTTCCAATCGTCAAAATAAAATCATATGTATAACTAAAGAAAACAATCTTCCCATTTAGAAGGCAATCCCTGCATCCCCATCCCCGGAAGTGCACCTGTGTCTCATATAATATTTTTTTAAGTACCTATTGTTGTCGACCTTATTATATACCGATTATCAGGTTGTCTGCATATTGATATTGTAAATTATCAGCTGCGAGTCACAATGTCGAGTGAGCGCAGAGAACGAGTTCAAAAAGGCTGCATATTGTGTCGAGCAGCTGATAATTTACAATATCAATATGCAGACAACCTGGTAATCGATTTATTGGATTGTATTTGTGTATTTGCATGATAGAAACAAGAGTTTTTCTTTGTTTCACCAGCAAACTGAAAGATGACGTGATAAGTTCGGGTCAAACATATCAACGTCTTTTCATTCATTATGACGTCGATGATATGTCCGGGTCAAAGTTATTAAGGTCAGGTCAACCTCTTTGACGTCACAAAGCCCGGCGATACACCGATAAAGTCTATTTGACAATTTGACGTTGTAATAGACGACTTTCGAATTCGTGCACTTTCCCGTATATTTCCTAATTCACAATTCTTTTGTTATTACGTCACAGTTAGAACTGGGTTGCGTTCAATACCATAGCAGCTAGCATATCAGCTATTCCCTAGATATCTATCTATGTTTAACGACATGCTATGTAGCTAGCTCGCTTTCAAAAATGCTTCGTTTTTCAAATTATTCAGTTGAATGGAAAAACTCCGATTTCTGCTAAAACAGTGTGTTAGTCTTTGTACAAATCTCATATGCTTGCAATATAAACATTTTGGATTCTTTGTAGTCATAATATATTTTGTAGCTTGTATGTTTATGCTATTTTAATCTACGCGTAGCGGCTAGGCTAGCTATACGTTCAGTAGTCAAAAGATACGTAGCCCTACGTAGCAGCTACGATATTGAAAGCACCCCAGATTGTTCGATGACGTCGTTTACGCCGATTGACCCCTAACAACTCGAGATTGGTGTATTAGAAATCTCTTTGTATGCACGCGTTGTTTCCCTTAGGAGGGATATAAACTTTTATTTATAATAAAGAACTATCATCTGTGCGTAATGTATGCAAGGTTTACGTTTTCCAAATCTTTTAATTACATCCAATAATTTTTTTAAGATTAAAACTGTTGAAATCGATAATTATTTCATTTAAAATTTGTTGAATATGTATTTAATGTTTATCTTGAATATAGTACATGGAATTTTTTCCACATTGCGTTCACGCAAAAATTAATTGACCAATTCTGCAATCTAATTTTTAACTAAAACAAGTGCAATATTCTTTGATCTTTCTGAAAATAGTCTACAATAGCAATATTTAATGTTATGCGCATAGTATATGGACATCTGGGGTTATTGCTAAATTCCTTACGAAAAATTCCTCTGGGTTTCGGCAATTAATCCGGTGACTGAGTGGGACAAATTCAGGGGAAATAGTCCTGCACCATTTAATAATTAAACTCCGTGTCAAAAATTAGAATCGCCATAATGATATTCAAATTTTCACTGTTTTTTTTTTAACAATATTGTGATCAATTCTAGGCAGGCCGACAGGGTATCGGTTGGCACATAGAATATCGATGTAAAGTTAAATTTTGACGATTAATCCGGTTTTTTTGTTTTTGTTTAGCAGTCTGTTGTTTTAAAAGAATTGATAAAAGATGTAATTATGACAAGTGATGAATGCTAATTTTCGTAAAATTTAAAGAAAATGTATGTTTTCAAACGTAAGTCTATGATTAATAATTTTAAATTTGAATTTTTTTTGCAGGTGATCGTTGTTCAGAGATTAATTGAAATCAAAGATTAAATACAATTGTACATGCATGTGGCATATTTATTCGTCTTTTTTTTTTAATGGAAAGCCCTTCCCATACTGTAACTTCCGAAAAATGGAAGTTATTGTCTGGAACGACGTCACTGAGTGGAAGTTGTAGTACAGGTTGTCTTCTCCTCTTAAATATCATTACGATTTGTAGAACAGATATTTACATAGGCAAAACATGAAACCATGACACAAATAGAAAATTCTACAGTTCGTTTATTTCGAAATGGAAACAGAGTTCAGAATATATACATTGTATTTACATATTTAGGGTTAATCTTTTGGAACCAATTTGACCTCTACAGTGAAGAGTTCTTTGAGACACATCTAAACAAACTTCCACAGATTGTTCTAGATTTACATGAACCACGGCATGATCCTGAATTGCACTTTGTTATACATTTATTCCATTTGTTATCTTCACTTTGTACAACCTGTATTATAGCCTGCTGATTGTTGCAGCTTGGAGGAGCACTAAATGCAGTTGGAATGCAAGTTCCTGAACACGTGTTTATAAGATTGGTACAATCAGGCAAAGAGCAAAGACCAACAAAACATGTATTTAAACAGTTATCCCACTGAAGTCGTCGTTGTTTACGGAAGCCATTAATATCTGTACATTCTTGGGTTGAACTGTGTTCTACAAATGTGACTGAAATCAAAACATAAGCATGGATTTAGTATAGTTAAAAATATCAATATCAAATAAAAGATCGTGCAAATTGTCATCATGAAAATCTTTTGAAATCAAATAGTTTAGTATGTATCTAACGAATTGAAAGCCAAAACTGAACTTTTGCTAGTACAAACAATTTTTTGTTTGAATACATCGTAGCTTCATTGATAAACCTAAATAAGCTTATGGGTTGACTTGGCCCAGGTATAGAAATATTGTCACCCACCTTTTCCCTCTAAGAAGAAAAAAAAATATTTGAGAGGGGGCTTGGGTGTCCGTATGACTGCGCGAGATGTATAAATACGCAGACAACTCCCATCGATTGGGCACGTGATATCCGATGCCACGCGTAGAGAGAACAGGACGAACTCTTATACTTCACAGAACTAGCTTGTAGTGACTATTTTAGGGATCAACATAAGGCCTCTAGCAGGCTAGATTTTGTCCACATATCTAACATATCTTTCTTCAAATAGCAGTCCAAATTCCCGCTCTTCATATCAATCAACCAAACTTCTGCCAGTTGGATTATTTGTTAGTTTGTTGTTCTGAAAACAAATGTATGAGGGTAGGAATGTCTTTACCGTCAGGCGTCAAACGGTCATTTTCGGCTACCGTTAGCGTCAAATTGGTTAAAATTTTACCGTGATTCGTCAAAATATCTTTATCGTGATTCGTCAGAGGTCTCGAATAATTATCGTTAACGTTATTTTTGGAAAAAAATTGACGTGATTCGACAAAATCAGTCGATTTTTTTATCGTCTAAAAGAAAGTGAACATTTTATCGTCATGCACCAAAAGTTACCGTTAACGTTATTTGACAAGAATTTTTACCTTTATTCGTCATGAAGGTACCCCCATTACGACCCTCATGTATGCATGCAATATTTGAGACTGGATGTTAAGCATTCAACAATTAATCAATCAATCTTATAAGCGATAGACGTCATCAGCCTTTTGACCACATTTTCTTTATCTTTATTTATTTGGTTTGCAAAAAAAAAATCTCGACCCGCTTAAAACATAAAACTTGACGGTCGGACGTGGGCCGATATTTCAGGTTCTACAAATAAAGTCTACAAGATATGGTATACAGATGTTATGTAAACAACAATGAGACAACACATGCCGAATAAAATAACCAGTAATGCCAAGTAATGAACTTTTGCAAAACAATATCGTAGCTTTATTGAAGCACTCGAATAAACCTTTCCAGAAATTCATTTCCGTAATCATGAATTGTACTCTAAATTTCTAATTTGAAGCAGGTTATTTCCCTTGTCGGGCAGTGAACTGCAGTGAACTGCTTCGCGGCAATAACGTCTAATATTAAAAGGGCATTAGCTACGATTTAGACTAACAAATAAAATATGATTTTTTTTAAAACATTTATTAAAGCGGAATATTGAAATAATATTCCGCTGTAAGCTGTCATTTTGGTTCTGTTTGTCAAAATAAGCTCAAAAACATCGCAAAAATTCATTTGCTTGTAAGTCAATAATTCAACCCCGGGTCACGCATATGATCAGTTATCAAAAAGAATAGAATTAGACCAAATGAATTGCACAAAACTTGTAACGAGATTGAAGAGAAAACAGAAATCGCCACAAGATTTTTTACAAATATACAGAATATTAAATAACTTTTTTGTGGAAACTTTAACTCTTTTCTGTTATCTTTATAAAAATAACATGTATAATCTTATAATAACTTAATGATTGTGAGAATAGGTTGCAATAGTAAATTTACGAATGAAGAAATACTTACCTAGAAGGACTAACAAAATAACGAGTTTCTCCATTTCGTCAGTCAATAGAGATCATATTGACTCCACGTAAAGCTAGAGTGAAGCTGTAGCTATATTTATACTCAAATAGAGAAAAAGATCTTCCCTCAAGGCTGCATCATGAATATCGTCTGGTTTAACCGATTAATTTACATGTTGTTTTTTGTTTTTCAAAAAGAGCATTTTATTATAATTATTATATAGCCGAAAGCTGAAAAACTACCATAAATCAGAACTAAGCGACTGCATACGGGCGTGATGGTAGAATTTATAAGTTGTTGTCTTCGTTTAATCAGTTCATATTGTGTTATATCAGAAAATAAGTTATAATGTTTATTAAGGTTTCAGTCCGTTCGTTTGTATGACATAACATATTGAGAAACATCTGCTGATCGCCTTTTGCTATGATTCCGATCAAAGTTCGGTAAAAAGCGCTCTAAAATTCGTGAAATTTTATAACTTGCTCAGACTATTGAGTTTATATCATTATATAGCAACATGAATTACGAAAAGATATACGGTAAATTAAGAATGAAACTGTCATTAGTCTATGATAGATAAAACTATAAAAGGCTAGGTCAGGAGAACACTCCCCATTTACGTTTTTGAGTAGTGTCCGAAAGGATTTTTAAGTCATTTTGGAGTTTAAGTGGGATGAAAAAAAACATATCTAACAGTTTACTTTTTTCGAACAGTATATTTGGGCAATTGCCTCCTTAGACAAGTTAGGTGGGATTACCGAACATCGGAATTAATGTATAGGATGATTAATGGTTCCTTTAATACTTGAAATTTTGATATAATGCTTAATCATAATTTCGAATCAGGATGGACAAAACAATTTGCTTTCCACTTGAATTTTATTTCAAAATGATAGCTAGACCCGTTTTGTTAAACACAAGTAAAAAGAATCCAAGGGAGTCAAAAAAGAAAGAAAGGCAGATAACACCATGGCTAAAAGTAAAAAACAAAAAGTCAACCAACACTCCACAAATTACTTCACAGAAAACGAATTTAACATCAAGAATGGGATGAACTCCTGTGCTCCGAAGGTTAGGCATTTATTATGTCACCCGTTATAATATTACTGTAATGTATTAATCGAGTACAATTATTTCGGTATTATATTCAAATGCCTAGTAGATTCTCTATATAGCTACTGAGCTAATGCCAACTTGGAAATGAGAAATGTCCAGTTTGAACTGAGTAATTCTAGCAACAGCATGTCGACCCCCTATCGGTCTATCGTATTAAACCGACATTTCTCTTTTTCTGTATTTTTAGTTTTTTAATATATCAAATTTGATTCGAATCAAGATTATCAATGGGGAATTGTGCATTAAACAAGAACGTTTCTTTATTACAAATTATTTGTACTTCCTGCAAGTCAGGTATCGAGGATGAATTTCATTTTGTTATGAAATGCAAGTAATTAAGAGCAAATAAGAAATGCACAATACTATATTCATGTCATATAAACATCATTTTATATTATCATTACCACGTTACTAAGCTGCCAACCCCACAGCCGTATTTGGAATGTGGTGTCTCCAACATGGTCAAAACCTGCGACCTTTGTGGTTCGATCTGACGTCTCATTTACAAGGTCCTGTGACCTTTACAAATGTACAAAACCGTTTCATTTAAATGTTGTTTTTGCTTAGAAATGACCTTGCGACTTTGCTGAGCCATGGGATAGAGTAAATCATCTCCCTCGTTTTAGCCAATCAAAGTCTGGCATCTCAACATGAAGTATGATAAAAGTGGGTATCCAACAGGAGCCCCAATTTGTATGTAGTGGTATGTCAATGTTACTGTATTTTTAATTGTTCTCCAAGATTTGTCTTTTTAATGTCATCGTTTGGTATGTTGTTGATTACAATCCTATTTTGGATTTCATATCAATAAATAATTGTTTATTCTTAATTCTTTATCCTTGCTTAGTGTAAATTAATATGACTTATTCGGGCTCGTGGATCTTAACATCCCTTTTTGTTCGAAGGTCTTTTTTTTGTCAAAATTTACTTATAATTTAACTTTTACTATAATTAAGAGATGGAGTTCGCGTTTCGTTCCGGTTGAGCAACGTTTTATGGAATAAAAATCTCTTTTAGTCTTTTTGTGCCTTTGGATCTATTTACACTTGTATATATGATTACAGTCTAAATTAATGGCAGGTACAAGGTTTTAAACAACTTTTACTATCCTGAGTTCGTTGACCTAGACATATCGCTTGCAGCAGTGACACTGTTGTTTTGCATAAAACTTTAAAGGCTTAAAAATAAATGATTTAAAAGATTAAATTGTCTAGAGATCATTCAAATGGTACAGTGACATTAAGGCGTCTTTGCGGAAAAGTGCAAAGTACATGTTTCCTACCACCTTAATGTAACTTACCTTGAAAAAATAATATTCATCTGGTTTTCGTATATTTTGGTGATGGTAAATCCAAAAATCCTTATAAATCGCAGTCATTTAGACTTGTCCCGTGCAGCACCAAGATCAAGACCGAGGAACCGCCCGTTTGGTTCTTCACGCGTCAAAAACTCGTCAAACATGCAGACTTTAAAGGGCACGCAGAGGAAATATCTACTAAACTAGATGTGTCGGAACATTCGCAAAAAAACTTGGAGCCATTTTTCGGAGTGATAATATGAGAATGAAAGTCTGTACAACTGTTATTTTTCACAAAATTTTCAATGTCAAAAGCCTGTAACTTCAGCAAAAATTAATGGAGCGGAACCAAATGTAAACTTGATCTGCAACTCATCATAGTAGACTGACATACTAAAAATCAGCTTAATATATGAAGGCGTTTAGAAAATAAGTCTGTATAACTGCTAATTTCATGAAATTTTCAGTCCAAAGCCCGTAATTTCGACAAACATCTGTGGAGCGGAACCAAACGTAAACTCGATCTGTAACTCATCATAGTAGACTCACATACTAAAAATCAGATCAATATATGAAGGCGTTTTGAAAAAAGTCTGTATAACTGCTAATTTCATGAAATTTTCAAAAAGTCCAAAGCCCGTTTTTTCGACATTAATAAGCGGAGCGGAACCAAACATTAACTTGATCTGTAACTCATCAAAGTAAACTCACATATTAAAAATCAGCTCAATATATGAAGGCATTTACAAAATAAGTCTGTATAACTGCTAATTTCATGAAATTTTCACTCCAAAGCCAGTAATTTTGACAAAAATCTGTGGAGCGGAACCAAACGTAAACTCAATCTGTAACTCGTCATAGTAGACTCACATACTATTAGTCACCTCAATATGTGAAGGCGTTTAGAAACAAAAGTCTGTCTAGCTGTTATTTTCACAAAATTTTCGAAGCCCATATTTTCACCAAAAATCAATGGAGCGCAACCAAACGTATACTCAATCTGTAGCTCATCATGGTGGACTCACATACTAAAATTCAGCTCAATATGTGAAGGCGTTTTAAAATAAATTTGGTATAACTGCTATTCTCATGAAATTTTCAATGTCCAAAGCCCTACTTTCGGCAATAATCAGCGGAGCGGAACCAAACGTAAACTGGATCTGTAACTCATCTTAGCAGACTCACATACTAAAAACCAGCTCAATATGTGAAGGAGTTTGAAAAAAAGTCCGTATAGCTGTTTTTTCACAAAATTTTCAAAGTCTAAAGCCCCTGGTTTCAGCAAAAATCAATGGAGCGGAACCAAACACAGACTCAATCTATAACTCATCATAGTAGACTCACATACTAAAAATCAGCTCAATATGTGAAGGCGTTTACAAAATCAGTCCGTATAACTGCTGTTTTCATGAAATTTTCAAAGTCCAAAGCCCATAATTTCGGCAAAAATCAGCGGAGCGGATCCAAACGTAAACTCGATTTTTAACTCATCATAGACGACTCACATACTGAAAAATCAGCTCAATATGTAAAGGCGTTTAGAAAATAAGTCCGTATAACTGTCCATTACAGAATGACGGAATAGAGTAAAACTGTATGGCCCCGACAACTTTGTTGCGGGGCCATAAAAAAAAACAGTTGCAGATCGAATGTTCTGATCTCCATCAGTATCCTTCAGCTCAGCTAGTAAATCGATTCGACCTGAATTTGCATGCTTTATTTGCAATGGAACGATCAACAAGCGAAAATCTATTTTCTAGGTACTTTAAATTCAAATTTGCACTAGTTAAATAATATGTTGACACAGATATTTCTCGCCCGTATATAATTTCTGATGGGGCAGGACCGACCTCCATAGAAATGAGTTGTGCTTATTCTTATATAACTACATACCTGATATTATCGACTTAGTATTCGTGGTTCTCTTTAAACTGACCTTATCACAAACTTTAGCATGTAAACTATGCAAGGTTTCAAAGTCAATAAATCATGACTGAGGGGGCAGGGCCAAATAATCTCCATGGAAATGAGATGTGCCGATATAAATACAACTGTATACCAAATATCATTGATTTAATATTAATGGTTTCCCTTAAATTGACATAATCACAAACTTTAACAAAATGTTGACACCGCCGCTGCCATAGTAGCACTCCTAAGTCTCGCCTTTTGACTCCATCAAAGCTAGACAAAATTCCTGTTTGTTCAATGCATATATCACATACTCTGATGAGTCAATATTGGTTGATTGAACTTGATTTTAAATCCATCATATGGAAAAATTAATATAACTTAATCTTGTTGTGTCAAAGTTGGTATGTACAAGAAACTTTGGAACAAAACAAAAATGAAATTAGATATCAAGTTTGAAATATTTGTAATCTTATTCATTGGCTTTATTGTAGGTCTTGTTGTTGATCATTTTAACTGTTTACAGTTTATCCCTATCTATTGAAGTTTTAGGATGAAAACGTAACTGATGGCAAAATCAAATAACTGGTACGATAATTTGGCCATGTTAACATACTTGTAGATCTTATTCTACTGATCTTTCTTGCTTTTTGATGTTTCTCTCCGAATCCTATTTTTTTGAAATATGGATAAAATCATCATTCAGGGCAAATAACTTCTATAAGTAGATGACATTTTCGCCACGGTGACTGATTTGTAGATCTTATTGTGTGGAACATTTTTGTTTGTC